TCTGGAGCCATTTATAAGTAAACAAAATCAATAAAACAAAACCCAATTGACAATGCATGTCTACATTCACTCCCAGCATCAACAGTTTAAGAATTGTAGTGCAGTTTTGTTGTTGATGTCAGTATTTGTATTAGTGTTATGATGTCTTTAGAGAATGGTTCTTGAAATATGGTAACATATGGTGTTCAGAAAATGTAAAGAAATCAGTTGCGTTTATGGACAAAGTGAACTACTATATATATTTTGTATGATGATATGTAGTAACTGTTGAAATATTTTCTTTATCTTCTCCAATTTTATCTGATTTTCTTTCATATTCCAGACTGAGATGTATTGCACTAGCATGGTTATGCTTACCAATAGACTTCTCATCACAAGTCGACAGGTAATAATCATTTTTTTTTTTTTTTAAGAAAAAAGAAAGTAATGATTAGAGATGGAATAAGTGATCAGCTTTTTGAACATGCAGGATTAACGAAGGAAATCAGTTTAAGGGACAGTCTTGTGAGGATCAGAAATCGGATTAAATCACTTTAAAAATTATTGTCTGACAATGTTTTTCCTCTTCTTAATAATGCACCTTTTATTATCTATGTTCTGGCGAATACTGAAGTGAGAGACAGACCCCTACAAAAAGTTAAAAGAGACTACACATCTCTCTTCTATCTTACACAGATCAGTTAGCAATATAAATTGAAAACTGAGAAAGTTATTACACATTCTTGCCTGAATCATAGTATATATTATTGGAGTTTTCACTTGCCAAAAAAGGTCCCTTTAAAGTTGGTTTATTTTCCTACCTCTGGTTTCTCTAACTTATCCCTTCTATAAAAAGGCCCATTCTTTTATCTTTGCACTATGGTTTGCAGCATGAAGGAGTGATAAGATGAAGCTTGTGTGTCATAAGATGAAAAGTGAATCCTGTGAAAATGTCAAAATTGCTCCTTATGGGGTGGGAAAAATAGTAAAAATTGCCATAAAGTTGATTTTATAGTATAAATATCTTTAATATTATATTAATATTGTGCATTTTTGTGGCCAGATTTGTAGTGGTACCCAAAAAGGGAAGGGTAAGCTTTTCCAAAAATGAATTAAGAAAAAAGAAAAGAAAAGAAAAAAAGATTGTCTCATGCAGTCTAGTTCTTGGAATGTAAGAAAGAATAAAAGGAAAGTGCAAACATTTCAGGACAATTTTCAAATTGTTGAATTTGTTTTCTTTTCTTTTTCTATTTATTTTTAATGGGATCATTTTAATATACAAGAAAGATGTGACTTGTACCCCTCCATGTTTGTCTTGCTCTAGCAACTTGGTCACAAAAAATACACATTATGAATACACAGATGATATCTCAGAAGGAAAAAAAATCTATAAGACATTACTTTTTTTTGGTGATTTTGTTAAATTTGTCCTATTATGGGGACAGGAGGTCCCAACTATCACTAAACCACTGGTAATTAGTCTTAATTCAAATTTAATTTTCCCAGCCTACTGTATATGTCAGGGGTGGCCAACCAGTCGATTGCGATTGACTGGTCGATCCCAAGCCTGTTTTAAGTCTATCACACTAGTGTACCTGTTAATAATTTGTCCTTCAGAAGTTGTCATGCCAATAGCATATCCAAGTACTCATGATACTTGGATTATTATATTTCTCTTTTTTTCTGGGAATAAGTTATATTTATACATATGATGGACATGGATGGAACAACATACAGTTCTTTATAATCTCTCTCTCTCTCTTATACCTCAAGTGGGAGTAATATGTTACACTATTACAGTTACATTTATGGAATATGTTTGAATCTTAGGCTGGTAGATCACATCAGGGTAACTGTAGAAAAAGTAGATTACATCTCACAAAAGGCTGGCCACCCCTGGTATGTGGGATGGTTGCCTTAAAACTATGAAAGGCATTTTTACAAATTGAAAGAATGTGAAGGCATTTATAATAGTATAATATATATAATAGTATAGAATATATGTTTTTTAAGAAATACATTACATTTCATATATTTTTCATTAGGAGTATCAGTATTAGAAAATTTATGCAATATATCATTGCAGTAATACTTTCTTCTGATAATTATTCCAGTATGAAATGACTGATGACTTTAAAGAATAACTACAATTTTTTTTCTACCTCCAACCAGGGATCGCTTACTGTATGGGACATCACCTCTGGGGTCCCAGTTCGTGTGGTGCGACTGGGAGACCGTGATGACTCTGTCTTCATCCGCCACATGATGCCCGTTGCAGATACGATTGTCTGTGATTATGGCAATCAACTGCGAGTGGTGAAGTTACCTGTTGCAGAGAAGATGGACTGAAAGGGAGCTTATTATTTGAAGAGTGGGATTTGAAGATAGTCATCATTAGAATTTTTGAAAGGTCCATAGATTGTTTTTTTCCCAATTGTGGGGACTACTAGTGAAGGATTGAGGAGTGTGCTTGTTACCAGTGCTTGTAAATGACGCTGTTTCTTATAGTCATATCACCTTATGCGTAAGGATAGTTGTAATTAAGAGACTCAACACTCAAGGAGACAGAAATAGATGAAAAGGATTAAAATATGTTTATTATAGTTATTTATTTGGTAGTATTTATCTTGTAGAATTGTGTTTGATGGACTGATTATGACAGGAAATAGGGCATGATTATGCAGTGCTGTGATGTTTTATTATAGATAAGTGATTGCTTGATCAGTGGAGTAAAATTTTCAAAAGAAAATCAAACACAATACACAGTACTAAAATGGAGGAAAATACAGCAATAAAGCTAATTATTTCTTTAGCTTTTACTTTTCTATTTATTTATTCATGTTTCATGATGATAGAAAAAAAAGAAAAAAGAAAAAAATACAGCTACTCTTGCCAAAGTATTTTGCCATCTTTATTTTTATTTTCTGTACAAGGGCATTAGATATATTCACATTTGTATCTTATGTAGGGAAGTATAATTTTTTTGTATTATTTGCTTAATGATGAATGCCTTATACTTCTCTTGTACATTTACATGCTTTTTATATTTGTAATTGATAAGATAAGGAAAATAGATCAAAATGTTTGCAACTTATTCCTAAGATTTCCTTTTCTTCTGTAAAAATGCCTTTATTTTCCTAGAAAAGCATTGTGTATAGTGTCAAGAAAGTAATAAATGAAAAATTGGTTGAGTATGATTAATAACAAAATAAAGGGTACTTCCTGTAATAACAGAGAAAAAGTTAGCAAGGTTGGATTAGCCTCCATATTTTTCCAAGGATATTAAAAACCACAAACTACATTCAGAGAATTTCCCCTTTCCTTAAAAGATCAAATTGAGAGTGAGATGGAACAGACAGTGGCCTCATTCTCATTTTTCACACTGTCCCACTCACTCTTGCAATGACACTTTTGCACTCATACTGACACATGTGTTTCATCACACAAATGGTCACTTTCATTTAGACATGCATTTTATACTTATGTTAAAAGGATGAGTTTTATTTAAGATTTTTATGTGTGTATGAATGTAAAAGTGTTTGTGGGAATTAATTTGTTTACAGTCCATGCTGTCATTGCTGTGTATAAACAATTAGTGTGTAGGCCTCAGTCTAGTGAGGATTTGAAGCTCCAGTAATTTCAGATGTTGATGCCATTATGTATATATTTTGATTAACCAATGACAGACTGTATGCGTTCAAAATGTTGAGTCTAATTTATTGATCATCAAAATATTTTTATGGGGGATAACAAGCATTACTGACATACTCAGTATGAAATGACTATGTGAAAAAAAAGATATTGAAGAAATCATAAATTTATATTTTATTGTATTCTGTCAAGCATAAATGTGTAAGCTATTTTGATATTACAGAGGTTTTTATATTCCTTTGCCTTGTGGGAAAGGAATAGTTAGAATACAATGCAAGTTTCTCCTGATGGCTGTGAACAGAGTTTCTGTGTAAGATGTTCGTATTTTTTCAAAACTAAATTTTTAAAGCACTACTGGAAGGCAGATGCCGGTCATAGTTTTTACAAACTGTATGCAGACCAACTGACTGATTATTTAAGGAAGTAAACAAATGTTAACTGAACTTATTGTTTTGATCATTGATAGTTTTCCTTTGTACAGTGATACAGGACTTCACAGGGGCTATCATAATGATACACAAGACAGGCACCCATATACACATATAGAAATACATTTTGTATCTGACATGTATACAATGGCAGTGTATTATGATACTGCTTGTGATATATACCAGTATATGAGTTCTGTTGCAACTTCAAGATGAGCTGTGTCTCAGCTTTTAGTTCTTGCTCCAGTTTTATTGTCTGGGTCTAGGAAAAATTACATATTTGGTCCTTTCTCATTCTCTCATAAGAAAATGTGTTGCTTAGCTGCTGTTTTTTACCAGATAATGTACAGGGACCTATTTTACCAAGCGATTTCATTAACTTGAGTGGCAGAAAAGTATGTCATGTAGCACTGATATGCACAAGTTTATAAAGCATTTTGGAAATACAATTGTAAATTATTGTTTTTTTATCAGTTTTTTTTTTCTTACCTGGAAGTTGATTTTGATAATGACCTACTCTTGAAAATTAAATTTAAAGATTAGGATTGATGTAGGTAACAGAAATTATAAGGTAAGTAATGCATTATTGGTAAGCTCGTGATAATGCTGGTTAATATTAGTAATTATGATTTTTTTTATTAATCACACCATTTTAGGAAAATTAATTACTTTATAATTCATTATTTACCAAAAATGTAACTACATTCATATTGTAATATGAGTTTCAAAGAATGCACTAAGGTAGCAAGTCTACTGGATTGCAAACTAACCCATTGGCCACGGGTACATGTACTGTCCAATGTAGTTTTCTGTGTATTTGGTTGCACATAGATGGCTCCACAAGAGCTCAGCTAACGAGTCAATCAGTAGGCCCTACATGACCTCAACTGCTTAGATCATATCTTGAATTTTCTAGAAAAATGTATTTCCTCATGTTATTAA